TGGAGCTATTCTGCTCATCCCATGATTGAAAGCTTTTCTGAGTTTTGCCCTCCCTGAACTTGCCCCTTTCAATGGCCATCAACCTGTGGGTTCCATGGTGTAACAACTAGCACTCTGGACTCTGAATCCAGCATGATGCTGGGATCATGTAGGCCTCCCTGCTGGTGGAGTGAGGGAAAAGAAGGACCTTAACAAGGACCTTCTGGAGAATGCAGGCATCGATCCCGCTACCTCTCACATGCAAAGCGAGCACTCTACCATTTGAGCTAATTCCCCACTGCCTGCTTTTCGTCTTCTCCGTCCTTTGGATCTCTGCACGAACTTCCAAGAAACAGCAGGATGGGAGAGCACTTTTTGGATCGCCCTGGCCATCGACCCGTGGGTTCCATGGTGTAACGAACTCTGGATTCTGAATCCAGTGCCAAAATGAAACAGCTCAGCTGGTTATTGGCCAGAGCACCCCGTTGGCCAGGGCTTTTTGGTGTTAGTACATTACTTTTATGCTCAAACCCATGCATGACCGGCGGGATACTCACCACTATTACTAACGAGGATGAGTACCACACAGGTTTTGCTAGACTCCGTCCGATTGGTTCCATGTCAGGTTTGCATCTGCGAAACGCTCAGTTGGGAGAGTGTTAGACTGAAGATCTAAAGGTCCTGATTTGTTTTGGTCAGCAGCAGTGTGGTTGTGCAGCAACTGAGGTTTTGATATCAGTCAAATGCCCGCTGACCACCTTGCATCAGCAGTATGCTATCAACCCCAAGGAAGCAGCCCTTGACCATGGAACACATCATTTGCAACAAGTGAGCAGTCAGTCTGAAGATGCATCCTTCCTCCCCCCACATGTAGGTATATACCACCATCCTTCCACTCCGAGGCAGTCCATCCCCCTTGAATTTTTTTTTTTTTACAAATACACTGGGTATACTGGAAAACATAAACACCTGTGAGGTCTCCACTGCCGTTTTCTCCCTGATGGCTCTGGCCTCTATTCACTTTGTGAAGAAGTCTGTGGCTGTCAAACAGAATCGCTTCCTGTTCCTTGATGTCTTGAATGGCCCAATGAGGTCGACAACTGAGTTTGTAAAGACAGACAGAGGAAACTCATGAATCAATAGCTCTAAATTTGACTGCAATGCTAGCTTACGCATGATGAATAATCTTACCAATCATGTTCCACGGTGCCACTGGTTTGTTTGGCATCACCTCTGGTCCCTCCGTCTTAACCCGATCAAACTTTTGGCATGGGACACAGGTGCTGATCTACAAGTAAAGGTGCAGTAAAGCAAAAAAAGCTGTGTTAAACTCCAGAAAGGTTTTGACTTTGGTTATAATTACACTGTACAATTTCTATTGTAAATACATAAAAATGCTTCAAGATATACCAGATACAGTTTGGCTGTACCACAGCTATCATTGTAATTCATTATACATTTGATACATTTGATACATTATGCATGATCATGGATTATATGTCAAAATAATGATATCATTGTGATGCATTATAATCCTATCTGATTTTTAGATCCGCTGCCTAATTTCCTGAACTTTTTAGCAGCCAATTATGTAATAACTACCATGAATGCAATAACTGCCAATAACGTAGTTTTTCCATTCTTATGTTAAAAGTCAAGAATTAATAACTAATGTTAACATTTCTGAACATTATTAGCTAATGTTAAAAAATTGACTCATTAAAAAAAATCTGGAAAAATAAATGGAGCCAATAATGTAATAATAGACTTATTTCACTAAGTTTTATTTATTATCAAGTGTCAGGCTTCCATAACATTTACCCTTACTGTTATTACTGCGATTGGCTGCTACAGACCTCCGTGAGGATGGCCACCTTCTCCTCCTCAGAGAGCGCAACCCTCCTCAGGGACGAGCCATCCATCCCCATGTATTCGAAGGTGAAACCTACAAGAAAGAAAGATTGGGATACATCTATTTAGTTGCTAATACTGTGATGGATCATTGCTAGCCACATCTTTAAAAGATTGTTTGAATAGTTTAGTTAAATATGCTTTGTAGACTAATATAGCTGGCAGTGTCTTTCTCTGAGGTAAATGTTAGGTAGCTAACTGGCGATCCAGCTGACAGTGTGACACTAGCTAGTCATCTGGCTACCGTGACAGGATAGCCATCACTACTGTAAGCGACGTGGGTGCGGGCGTGTAAAAAGAAGGAGTCCAACAACTTATTGGTTTATTGCTCTACTTTAGTGACATCTCAACACACAGCAACTTAACAGATCGCCATCTTTTTTTTCTTCTTCCCTCCTTTTTCTCCAACTCCTCCACTTCACATCCCTGTCTCACTAGCGCCACTGTGGCTGCCCTTAAAATAACACTCTAATGAACAGTTCTTCAAACGCATTAACCCATATGTAACCTTAACGTTTACACATAAAATATAACTTTTGTCTTACATATCTTCCCCCCCTTACAAAAAGAAGCATCCTCGCTTCAAACGCTGTCGTAATGAGAACTACTACTGTATTATCAACAAAGCAAGTAGAACAGCATAACAGTTGCAGTTACTGTGTTTTTGTTTTTGTTTGTGTGTGTGTGTGTGTGTGTGTCAACAGTCCATCTCAGTCTCTCCTTTCTTTTTCTTGGGTGCCGGTCCATGATGATCCAACATTTGCCGCGAGAAGCAGTTCAGTTGTCATGAATATAGCGCACTGGGGGACGCACACAACGACCTGACTTCGTCCTCAGCCCTGTGAGAGGCTGCACCACTGGAGATAGTTCACTATGACATCCTGTTGCCCTGCCCGTGGCATTGCAGTAACAGGCCCTGGTGGTGACAAGGAAACATCGCCTGAGATGGAGTAACAGGGCATCTGGGTATGCCAGGGCGCCTGTACACATAGGGTCTGGAGCCTGAGAGTGCAGTTAACCGTGGGGGACCTAGGGTGTTCACAGGTACCACCTGACCGGACGGTGATGGTGACGTACCAACAGCTGACCAGGCAGAGCGATATGGTTTCAGACAGTTGTAGTGAATTATTTTAGGCTTAGCTCTGGGGTCTCGTTGATCCAACAGTTCATAGTCCACTCCAGTGTCACTTGTGACTGAGCTGAGCCGTTTTAACACTCTAAAAGGGCCAGACCACTTTGGTGACAGTTTCTGTCTATACAGGGCAGGGAGGTCAACCCACACTAAATCACCTGGCTCATAGGCTGTATGTTTCATCAGACGATCATTGTAGTGCTTTTGCTGTGCGCCAGCCACCTCAATGTTATCTGCAACAGAGTGAAAAGCAGCACATAGTCTCTGCAATACTTAAATGGCATAGCCACTTAGAGTACTGAAAGTGGCATCTGATGCTTTTGGGGGGTCTCCAAGGAGAAGATCAGCTGGTAGCCGAGCTGCTCGACCATGGACCAAGAAGAAGCGAGTGAATTTGGTGGAGGAGTGGACAGTTGTGTTATATGCAAACTCCACCTGTCGCAGATGGTCATCCCATTCACCTCCTCTGGTGTACAGCAATTTTGCCAACTGGTCCTTTATAGTCCTGTTTGCTCGCTCCACCATGGCATCAGACATAGCATGATAGGGCGACGTCCGTGTTTTGTGCATTCCCAACCAGGAACACAATTCTTTGACAAAGTCTGATTCAAATTGACGGCCATGGTCAGTGTGTAAACTTTGTGGTACCCTGTGGCGGCTGATGTAATCTTCAAACATACATTTAGCCACAGTAGTTGCTTGTTGATCAGGGAGAGCATATACGTTGAGGAACTTTGTAAAATAGTCCATTACAACAAGTACATACCGATTACCACGTCGTAATCGTAGTTCAGTCAGGTCTGCTGCAATTTTCTCAAAAGGCCTGGATGTGACTATGTTTTGCATTGGGTCCTGTTGGTGTGGTGTCTGTGGTCGTCATGCTTCACAGGCTGCACATGTGAGACACCAATCAGTTATGTCGCATGACATGTGAGGCCAGAAACATCTGACTTGCGCCCCTTGTAATGTCTTATGTGTACTGAAATGTCCAGAGAGTGAATGTCCGTGTAAGGCCTGGAATACCTCTTTCCGCAGGCTGGTGGGGACAACAGTCTGTAAAACAGGGTCACCTGGTGGGTGTCTGACTCTGCGCCACAAAAGATCATCAACTCCCTCCAGTACGGTCTAATCTCAGGTGACACTGATTTCACGTCTGAAAATGGTGGCCTACAGTCAGTCAACACCCAGTTCCGGACTATTTTCAAGTCAGGGTCAGCTTTTTGAGCTTGGATGAGGAACTGTCTGTCAATGTCCAGGGGCAATGTGCCCTCAGTCACAACTGCAACATGTGGTGAGGCAGACTGCGCAGGCGCTGTAGTGGTTGACAAAATGGGGGCAGCCTCTGGTTCAATTTCCAGCCCCGTGGCTAAGGCGCATGTGAAAGGCTCTACGGCAAGGGTGTCAAACTCCAGTCCTGGAGGGCCGCAGTGTCTGCTGGTTTTTGTTCTTTCCTTTTGATTGGCAGCCATTTTAGGCCTTGGAAACCAGGTGTGTGGACTCTTCAGCCAACCAGTGATTTTAATTAATCAATTAAGTGCTAAAACACACCAAAAACCAGCTACCACTGCGGCCCTCCAGGACTGGAGTTTGACACCCCTGCTCTACGGGGTCTGTTTGTGTGTGACTGGAAACACAGCCCACGAAACCATTCTTTGAGGTATGTTCACCAGTGCACAGCCTACCCAGCATATGGCCGGTTAGCTCAGCTGGTTAGAGCGTGGTGCTAATAACGCCAAGGTCGCGGGTTCGACCCCCGTACGGGCCAAGCCTTTTTGGTGGCAATATTTGGATACTTTTTATGCTCAAACAAAAAAGGCAAGGAAGGCTCTCCCCGTCAGGGAATCAAACTCTTGTGTGACAGGCAGGGACACTCACCACTATTACTAACGAGGATGAGTACCACACAGGTTTTGCTAGAGTGTGAATACTCCGTCCGATTGTACGTGTGCGTTGCAGTACGCATGTCAGGTTTGCATCTGCGAAATAGCTCAGTTGGGAGAGTGTTAGACTGAAGATCTAAAGGTCCTGATTCTGTTTCGGTCCCGGGTTTCAGCAGCAGTGTGGTTGTGCAGCAACTGAGGTTTTGATATCAGTCAAATGCCCGCTGACCACCTTGCATCAGCAAGCAGCTATCAACCCCAAGGAAGCAGCCCTTGACCATGGAACACATCATTTGCAACAAGTGAGCAGTCAGTCTGAAGATGCATCCTTCCTCCCCACACATGTAGGTATATACCACCATCCTTCCACTCCGAAGCTGTCCATCCCCCTTGAATTTTTTTTTTTTTTTACATATACACTGGGTATACAAGAAAAAATAAACACCTGTGAGGTCTCCACTGCTGTTTTCTCCCTGATGGCTCTGGCGTCTACTCACTTTGTGAAGAAGTCTGTGGCCGTCAAACAGAATCACTTCCTGTTCCTTGATGTCTTGAATGGCCCAATGAGGTCGACACTTTTGTAAAGACAGTTTGTACAGTTTGTAAAGGCAGACAGAGGAAACTCATGAATCAATAGCTCTAAATTTGACTGCAATGCTAGCTTACGCATGATGAATAATCATACCAATCATGTTCCACGGTGCCACTGGTTTGTTTGGCCTCACCTCTGGTCCCTCCGTCTTAATCCGATCAAACTTTTTGCACGGGACACAGGTGCTGATCTACAAGTAAAGGTGCAGTAAAGCAAAAAAAGCTGTGTTAAACTCCAGAAAGGTTTTGACTTTGGTTATAATTACACTGTACAGTTTCTATTGTAAATACATAAAAATGCTTCAAGATATACTAGATACAGTTAGGCTGTACCACAGCTATCACTGTAATACATTATACATTTGGTACATTATGTATACAATATCATTGTGATGCAGTATAATGGAATTTATGTCAAAATAATGAAAACTATAAAGTGCATATTTGAGACAGGACCTAATATGGATCAACTTACCCATTACTCCACATCCTATCTGATGTTATGCCAGTAGAACCACTGCCTAATCTTCCCCATAATGCAGTTACATCCAAAGTGGCAGACGTGGACCTTGTAGCAGCCAATTATGTAATAACTACCATTAATGCAATAACTGCCAATAACATAATACGTTTTCCATTCTGAATGTAATAAAAGTCAATAATGTAATAACTTACCAATAATGTAATAACATTTCTGAACTTTTTGCCCATAATGTAGTAAGTTATTACATTATTGACTGGTTATTACATTATTAGCTGGGTTAAAAAATGATGGATCAGCTACATCATTGTAGCTAGCCACATCTCTCGTCAAGCTGTTAGCTCACTAGGTATCTATTCTGAGTAGGACATTGTTAACATACACAACTTCTAAAAGATCGTTTGACTAGTTTAGAAAGTGTAGAAATACGACATTTGTAGACTGAAATATGAAGTGTGTTGTCAGACTGTAATATCTCTGAGCGTTGTATAAACTGATGTCTTCCCTCATCTGAGTAATTTCTACAAAATAGCGCTTGGCAGCTTTAGCTAACAAGCTAGCTAGTGCTAATACAGCTAGCAATGTCTTTCGCTAATATAGCTGGCAGTGTCTTTCTCTGAGGTAAATGTTAGGTAGCTAGCTGGCGATCCAGCTGACAGTGTGACACTAGCTAGTCATCTGGCTACCGTGACAGGATAGCCATCACTACTGTAAGCGACGTGGGTGCGGGCGTGTAAAAAGAAGGAGTCCAACAATTTATTGGTTTCTTGCTCCACTTTAGTGACATCTCAACACACAGCAACTTAACAGATCACCATCTTTTTTCTTCTTCCCTCCTTTTTCTCCAACTCCTCCACTTCACATCCCTGTCTCACTAGCACCGATGTGGCTGCCCTTAAAATAACACCCTAATGAACAGTTCTTCAAAACGCATTAACCCATATGTAACCTTAACGTTTACACGTAAAATATAACTTTTGTCTTACATATCTTCCCCCCCTTACAAAAAGAAGCATCCTCGCTTCAAACGCTGTCGTAATGAGAACTACTGCTGTATTATCAACAAAGCAAGTAGAACAGCATAACAGTTACAGTTACTGTGTTTTTGTGTTTGTGTGTGTGTGTGTCAACAGTCCATCTCAGTCTCTCCTTTCTTTTTCTTGGGTGCCGGTCCATGATGATCCAACATTTGCCGCGAGAAGCAGTTCAGTTGTCATGCATATAGCGCACTGGGGGACACACACAACGACCTGACTTAGTCCTCAGCCCTGTGAGAGGCTGCACCACTCTAGATAGTTCACTATGACATCCTGTTGCCCTGCCCGTGGCATTGCAGTAACAGGCCCTGGTGGTGACAAGGAAACATCAGCCTGAGATGGAGTAACAGGGCATCTGGGTATGCCAGGGCGCCTGTACACATAGGGTCTGGAGCCTGAGAGTGCAGTTAACCGTGGGGGACCTAGGGTGTTCACAGGTACCACCTGACCAGACGGTGATGGTGACGTGCCAACAGCTGACCAGGCAGAGCGATATGGTTTCAGACGGTTGTAGTGAATTATTTTAGGCTTAGCTCTGGGGTCTCGTTGATCCAACAGTTCATAGTCCACTCCAATGTCACTTGTGACTGAGCTGAGCCGTTTTTACACTCTAAAAGGGCCAGACCACTTTGGTGACAGTTTCTGTCTATACAGGGCAGGGAGGTCAACCCACACTAAGTCACCTGGCTCATAGGCTGTATGTTTCATCAGACGATCATTGTAGTGCTTTTGCTGTGCGCCAGCCACCTCAATGTTATCTGCAAATGAGTTAAAGGCAGCACAAAGTCTCTGCAATACTGAAATGGCATAGCCACTTGGAGTACTGAAAGTGGCATCTGATGCTTTCAGGGGGTCTCCAAGGAGAAGATCAGCTGGTAGCCGTGCTGCTCGACCATGGACCAAGAAGAAGGGAGTGAATTTGGTGGAGGAGTGGACAGTTATATACAAACTCCACCTGTCGCAGATGGTCATCCCATTCACCTCCTCTGGTGTACAGCAATTTTGCCAACTGGTCCTTTATAGTCCTGTTTGCTCGCTCCACCATGCCATCTGACATAGCATGATAGGGCGACGTCCGTGTTTTGTGCATTCCCAACCGGGAACACAATTCTTTGACAAGGTCTGATTCAAATTGACGGCCTTGGTCAGTGTGTAAACTTTGTGGTACCCTGCGGCGGCTGATGTAATCTTCAAACAGACATTTAGCCACAGTAGTTGCTTGTTGATCAGGGAGAACATATACGTTGAGGAACTTTGTAAAATAGTCCATTACAACAAGTACATACCGATTACCACGTCGTAATCGTAGTTCAGTCAGGTCTGCTGCAATTTTCTCAAAAGGCCTGGATGTGACTATGTTTTGCATTGGGGCCTGTTGGTGTGGTGTCTGTGGTCGTCGTGCTTCACAGGCTGCACATGTGAGACACCAATCAGTTATGTCGCATTACATGTGAGGCCAGAAACATCTGACCTGCGTCCCTTGTAATGTCTTATGTGTACTGAAATGTCCAGAGAGTGAATGTCCGTGTAAGGCCTGGAATACCTCTTTCCGCAGGCTGGTGGGGACAACAGTCTGTAAAACAGGGTCACCTGGTGGGTGTCTGACTCTGCGCCACAAAAGATCATCAACTCCCTCCAGTACGGTCTAATCTCAGGTGATACTGATTTCACGTCTGAAAATGGTGGCCTACAGTCAGTCAACACCCAGTTCCGGACTATTTTCAAGTCAGGGTCAGCTTTTTGAGCTTGGATGAGGAACTGTCTGTCAATGTCCAGGGGCAATGTGCCCTCAGCCACAACTGCAACAATGGGGGCAGCCTCTGGTTCAATTTCCAGCCCCATGGCTGATGCGCATGTGAAAGGTTCTACGGGGTCTGTTTGTGTGTGACTGGAAACACAGCCCACGAAAACACTCTTTGAGCGATGATGACCAGTGCACAAATGGCTCTAAACATGGCCGGTTAGCTCAGCTGGTTAGAGCGTGGTGCTAATAATGCCAAGGTCACGGGTTCGACCCCTGTACGGGCCAAGCCTTTTTGGTGGCAATATTTGGATACTTTTTATGCTCAAACAAAAAAGGCAAGGAAGGCTCTCCCCGTCAGGGAATCAAACTCTTGTGTGACAGGCAGGGACACTCACCACTATTACAAAGAGGATGAGCACCACACAGGTGTTGGTAGAGTGAGAAAACAACTACACAAGTACTCCACCCAATCATATGTGTATGAAGCAGTGTGCAACTTAAGCTTGCGTCTGCTGAAATATCACAGTTGAGACGGCGTTGGACTGACGATCTAAAGGTCCCTGGTTCAATCCCCGGTTGAGCTGTGGTGAGGTTGTGCTGCAACTGAGGTTTTGATTTCAGTCAAATGCCCGCTGACCTTGCAACAGCTGTTTGCCATCAATCACAAGATGCATCCTTCTTCCCCCCCATAGCTACACCCACAAACAACTACGCTTCAAAACAGGTATCTTTGAAATGCATCTCCACAGTCACATATAACTAGGGTTACATGTAAAATGACCCCTTTGGCCAATGGTTGGGGTTATGTCATATGCAAGTGTCAAAAGCAGCAGGATGTTGCTCTTGGAGTGCAATGCATAGAAAAGTAACACTTGAGCTACTGCTCTTCCAACTAATGCAGCTAGCAATGTCTTTTGCCAATATAGCTGGCGGGAGAAGCGGATTAGCTGTTCCAATTTTCTTGGCATCCCTCCTCTCCTCTCCTCCTCCACATACTTCCGGGCCTTATGCTCAAGGATATATAAGTTTCTCTGCACCATCATTGCAGTCGCCGGCCATTTATGTCTGCCCGGCTAGCTCAGTTGGTAGAGCATGACGCTCTTAATCTCAGAGTTGTAGGTGTGAGCCCCACAGTGGGCAGTATACCTTTTGCAGGCTCAGCAGTGACCTCCAACATTTAAACCGTCAACGCCAGCAATGCATACAATTAGAGGTGGTGTTTTGTTGCACCTCTGAAGAAATACTGCACTTTCCTCCGCATCCTCACATCCTCAAAAGGGGCGCCGTGGCTTATTTGGTTAAAGTGCCTGTCTAGTAAACAGGAGATCCTGGGTTCAAATCCCAGTGGTGCCTGTGCTTTATGTTTCTTTTCTTCTGCATAGCCAGTGCCTCATTTGGCCAGGTCACCAGTGTCCCACAGTACATGACCTCTGCTCATCAGCTTCCGGGGCATGGAGAAAAGGAGGAGACGAATCTGAGGCTGCGTTCCAGTACTCAAATTCATCTCCTCCTTTCCTCCCTCCTTCCTCCATGCCCCAGAAGCTGATTATGTGTCCTCCTTTCCTCCACTGTTCCAAAGTGCAATCTCGCCTCCTCCTTTCCTCCTTTCTCGTCTCCTCCAAACGGAGGATACATGGATGTATCCTACCGCGGAAGTCTTTTCACATTTCTGCGTGACATCACTGTCCTTACGACCAGTCAGATCAAATGACCATCCCACAGAATATTTCACCATCGAAAAGTTCTAAAACATGACAAGGGATTTACCAACACCTAAATATTAGTGCCAGAACAGTAAACAGTAATCGGGCAATTTACATTAATGAGAAAAGTTTTGCGTTTTCAAACATGACCACTTTGTTGCGATATATTTGTGTTTTTCAGATACAAATGGTAATTTTACCAATGTAAAATTGAGCGAGTTTATGTTGCGGTAAATTTATTTATTCCATGTAGAAATGCTTATGTTACATCATGAGCAGAATGCGAGAAACTGACATTCATATTTTAATGCAGGAACAGGGCTGGTGGTGTTAAAGAAGTGTGATTGGCTTTGATATCCTCCGAGTCGTTCTAAATTATTTCTTCATCAATAGCCGACGTCGACTTTGATGACAGGTGAATTGGATTAGCTGTTTCAACTTTCGATTCATCTCCTCCTTTCCTCCACATATTTCTGGCATACTTCCAGGGTAGGAAAGGAGGAGATGAGAAAAGGTATTGGAACGCAGCCTGAGTATTGGAACGCAGCCCATATCTCTTATATGGCTCTAGTGGAATGTCCTTCCTGTCCTTAAATGAGTGTCCCTCTCAGCAAAATCCTGGGGGTGAAGCATGGAAGGAAGCCCATACAAATTTTTACCCCCATGCAGGGTTTCACATGATGCTGGGACCATGTGGGCCTCCCTGCTGGTGGAGCATGGGAAAACAGGTACCATTCTGGAGAATGCTGGCATCGATCCCGCTACCTCTCGCATGCTAAGCGAGCGCTCTACCATTTGAGCTAATTCCCCACTGCATGCTACTCCTTCTCCTCTGTCCTTTGGATCTCTGCATGACCTTCCAAGAAGATGCAGTTTTTGGGAATTGGCGCCTCCTATCAACCCATGGGTTCCATGGTGTAATGATTAGCACTCTGGACTCCACATCCAGTGCACAAAAAACATTGCATACTGGCCGGTTAGCTCAGCTGGTTAGAGCGTGGTCATTGCAAATTTGCACAAAGAGTCATTGCAATTGCATGTCTTGTATATTGCCTGGCTAGCTGAGTCGGTAGAGCATGAGACTCTTAATCTCAGGGTCATGGGTTCGAGCCCCACGATCGTGGTTTTGCAAGTTCAGTGGTGATCTGCAACAGGTTAAACTGTCTCATGCCAGCAATGTGTGTACATAGAGGTGGGGTTTTGTCGCACCTCTGAAGAAATACTGCACTTTCCTCCACATCCTCTCAATCGAGTGGGGGAACCCATCTCATGATGGTCATTTATTCATTTAGGTGTTTTTTTCCAAACGGCAAAACTGAGACAACAAATGGGGGCGCCGTGGCTTAGTTGGCCAAAGCGCCTGTCTAGTAAACAGGAGATCCTGGGTTCAAATCCCAGCGGTGCCTGTGCTCCACATTTTTTTCTTCTGCATAGCCAGTGCCTCATTTGGCCAGGTCACCAGTGTCCCACAGTACATGACCTCTGCTCACAGCAGGGGTGGGAAGGAGAAACCTTGTCAGTCACCAACCAAGCTCAGCCATTTATTCTTCCTGACAGCAATCAGGCTCTTTTCTTGTGCTCAGAACATCTGATTCCATCAGGTAAGTCACTTGTGAGTCCTGTCTGCCTAGGCGTATGTCCCAGGTAAGCTGGCCTTCTGATTACAGAATCCCATCTTAATCGTAGTTTTCCTATTTTTCTCATCAAACACCATCCAAATCTTGTTAATTTGGTCTTACTGGGAATCCATACTTTGTGTTCCCATTCGTGACCAAAATGAACATTTGGCTTGCTAAAATAAAAATAAATGTATGCTCACACACACACACACACACACACACACACACACACACACACACACACACACTCTTTCCCTTCCTTTTTTCTTTTTCCTCCCTACCCAGAAGTAATATTTTGTCATATTTCAGTGGCCCAGAATGCCTTGAGCTGAATCTTAAATGGGACAGACAGTGTCAAGAAAAGAGCACTGCAAAATATTTTTTGTTTTTTGAACCATTTCATCACTATTTATGCTCTGACTGGCACATACAGATAAAAAATAAAACAATCTTTGGAATCCTCCAACATTATTTACCATTTACAATCGTGGAAGGCAATACACACTTCAAGGTTTCATCATGTCTGCTGGAATATGGCAGTTGGGAGAGTGTTAAACTGATGATCATGTTTGATCCATGTTCCATTTGGCTTCCATTGCCCCTGTGATCTTTTCTACATTACATGCAGATTTTACGCCAGGTGCAAGTTTTTTGTGCAAGTTTGAGTTAATTGTATTGTATTTAAAACATGCAACAATATCAACCACAAATTTGCATGTTTGGCCCACTTACGTAAATGGTTCTGGGTCATATTTGGGTAACTTGCCTCATCAACTGTGACCCAAAGATTTTTCATGCATCTAAGAGTTTCCTTTGTTTTCACTTATATTCACACAAATGAAAAACCCTCTACAACCCTGAACAATTAAAATTTCAAGTCAGTATTTGTGAAAAAAAAAAAAAAAAAAACTTTATTTGAGTTGCAAACAGTAAAATACATTTATTCAATATTAACATTTCCCCAATATGGGGGGAGGAAACTTCACAAACAATCTGAGAATGTTCAAACATTCTCCTTTCCTGAATTTGATATTATTAACCTTGGGATATGGAAGATAAATGAATGATTGGAACAAAGGCACACAAAACAATAAATAACAAAGTGTCCAATGGTAGGACAGGTATTTCATGCAAATTTTCAAACATTTCATACACTTTGCAGGGTAAATACCTGGTTGTGGTTTCAATTTGCTGATATTGTGCTACAAGTGATCAACTTTTTTAAGCCCAAGGGAGACAAGTTCAAGTTGGTTATGCTCTGTAGCTCTATTGTTCTTGACAGAGAAACGAAAAAGTTGTCCACACATATATTTGTACTTCAGGCTTATTAAATACACTCTTATCTCAGTGCTTTTTAGCTCAGAACTTCTTTCATGACTACGCCATCCAGTCAATACGAATAGAAGGGGCTCAGTTGGACTCCTGAGTCAGTCAGTCAGTAAAGGCACCAGCCACAAAAGTAGGCTGGTGTTTAAGGTCACAGGTCAAGCCTGGCTATGCCAAAGCATAAATGTAGGCTGAGGCCAAAGGTCAAGCCTGGCTATGTCATTAGCCAGCTCCAAGCAGGCCTGTGTTTAGCTCAAGCTGTGCTGGTAGCAGGAGTGTGTTCAGCACAAGCTGTGCTGGTAGCAGAAGTGTGTTCATCTCTAGCTGTGCTGGTAGCAGAAGTGTGTTCATCTCTAGCTGTGCTGGTAGCAGGAGTGTGTTCAGCTCTGACTGATTGGATTGAGCTACAGCAATCACCCCAGCTACAGCACCCCACTCTAGCTGCGTCCCAATACTTTTTCTTGTCTCCTCCTTTCCTCCCCTCTTTTCCTGCCCCGGAAGTATGCTGGAAATATGTGGAGGAAAGGAGGGGAGGAAACGAGTGGAGGAAAGGAGGAGGCGAGATTTTGCTTTGGAACAGTGGAGGAAAGGAGGACACATAATAAACTTCCGGAGCACGGAGGAAAGGAGGGAAGGAAAGGAGGAGACAAATTTGAGTATTGGAACGCAGCCCCTATCTCTTATTTGGCTCTAGTGGAATGTCCTTCCTGTCCTTAAATGAGTGTCTCTCTCAGCAAAATCCTGGGCTGCGTTCCAATACTTTTTCTCGTCTCCTCCTTTCCTCCCCTCCTTTCCTGCCCCGGAAGTATGCCGGAAATATGTGGAAGAAAGGAAGGGAAGAAACGAGTGGAGGAAAGGAGGAGATGATTTGAAAGTTGGAACAGCTAATCCGATTCGCCCGTCATCAAAGTCCACGTCGGCTATTGATGAAGTAATAATTTCGAACGACTCGGAGGATACCAAAGCCAATCACGCTTCTCTAACGCTACCAGCCCTGTTCCTGCATTAAAATATGAATGTCAGTTTCTCGCATTCTGCTCATTATGTAACATAAGCATTTCTACGAGGAATAAATAAACTCACCACAACATAAACTCGCTCAATTTTACATTGGTAAAATTACCATTTGTGTCTGAAAAACATGAATATATCGCATCAAAGTGGTTATGTTCGAAAACGCAAAAGTTTTCTCATTAATGTAAATTGCCCGATAACTATTTACTGTTCTGGCACTAATATTTAGGTGTTGGTAAATCCCTTGTCACGTTTTAGAACTTTTCCATGGTGAAATATTCTGTGGGATGGTCATTTAATCTGACTGGTCGTGAGGACAGTGATGTCACGCAGAAATGTGAAAAGACTTCCGCGGTAGGATACATCAATGTATCCTCCATTTGGAGGAGACGAGAAAGAAGGAAAGGAGGAGGCGAGATTGCACTTTGGAACAGTGGAGGAAAGGAGGACACATAATCAGCTGCCGGGGCACGGAGGAGAGAAGGAAAGGAGGAAACAAATTTGAGGATTGGAATGCAGCCCTGGAGGTGAAGCGTGGAAGGAAGCCCATACAAATTTTTACCCCCATGTGGAGTTTCACATGATGCTGGGACCATGTGGGCCTCCCTGCTGGTGGAGCATGGGAAAAGAGGTACTGTGATAAAGACCTTCTGGAGAATGCAGGCATTGATCCTGCTACCTCTCGCATGCTAAGCGAGCGCTCTACCATTTGAGCTAATTCCCCACTGCCTGTCATGTCTTCTCCTCTGTCCTTTGGATCTCCGCATGACCTTCCAAGAAGATGCAGTTTTTGGGAATTGGCGCCCCTTATCAACCCGTGGGTTCCATGGTGTAACGATTAGCACTCTGGACTCCACATCCAGTACACAAAAGACATCGTTTACTGGCCGGTTTGCTCAGCTGGTTAGAGTGTGGCGCTAATAACGTCAAGGTCGCGGGTTTGACCCCCGTATGGGCCATGTCTTTCTGGTGGTAGTATGTTACTTTTTATGCGCAAACAAAAAAGGCAAGGAAGGCTCTCGCCATCGGGAATCCAACCCATAGGTGACAGGCAGGGACACTCACCACTATTACTAACGAGGATGAGCACCACACAGGTTTTGCTGGAGTGAGAATGCTGCCCGCACAGCAACTCAGGTTTTGATTTCAGTCAAATGCCCACTGACCTTGCTACAGCAGTTTGCCATCAATCCCAAGGGAGCAGCCATTGACCACGGAACACATCGCTTGCAACAAGTGAACAGTCAGTCTGAAGATGCATCCTTCCTCCCCCCTTAGCTACACCCACAAACAGCTGCGCTTCAAAACAGATACCTTTGAAACACATCTCCACAGTCACATATAACTAGGGTTACATGTAAAGTGACCCCTTTGGCCAATGGTTGGGATTATGTCATATGCAAGTTCCAAATATATGAAAAGCAGCCAGGATATTGATCCTGGAGTGCAATGCATAGAAAAGCAACACTTGAGCTTCTGCTCTTCCAACTAATGCAGCTAGCAATGCCTTTTGCTCATGTAGCTGGCAGGAGAAGTGGATTAGCTGCTCTTTCTTAGCATCTCCTCCTCCTTCCTTCCCTCCCTCCTCCCTCCCTCCCCCTCCCCCTCCCTCCTCTCCTCTCTCCCTCTCCTCCCTCCCTCCCCTCTCCTCCTCCACACACTTCCGGGCCTCACGCTCAAAGTCGATTCCAAGGACATTTGAGTCTCTCCATGGAGTCATTGCAATTCTATGCTGTTCATGTTAGCCCGGCTAGCTCAGTCGGTAGAGCATGAGACTCTTAATCTCAGGGTCGTGGGTTCAAGCCCCACGTTGGGCGGCCGCGGTTTTGCAAGTTCAGTGGAGATCTGCAACAGATTGAACTGTCTCATGCCAGCAATGCGTGTATGTAGAGGTGGTGTTTTGTCGCGCCTCTGAAGAAATACTGCACTTTCCTCCACATCCTCTCAATCGAGTGGGGGAACCCATCTCATCATGTTCATTTATTCATTTAGGTGTTTTTTTCCAAACGGCATTACTGAGACAATCACAAATGGGGGCGCCGTGGCTTAGTTGGCCAAAGCGCCTGTCTAGTAAACAGGAGATCCTGGGTTCAAATTTTTTTTTCCCATAGCCAGTGCCTCATTTGGCCAGGTCACCAGCCTATGCTCCTCACATTTTTTTCTTCTGCATAGCCAGTGCCTCATTTTTCCTGGCCAGGTCACCAGTGTCCTTGTGAGTCCTGTGCCTAGGCATGACCTCTGCTCATTTTATTCAGCAGGGGTCTTACTGGGAAGGAGAAACCTTGTCAGTCACCAACCAAGCTCAGCCAACTCTTTTCCTTCCTTTTTTCTTTTTCCTCCCTGCCCAGGAAGTAATATTTTGTCATATTTCACTACCCCCTCCTGGCTGAATCTTAAAGGGGTAGTGTCACATGCAAAATGTTTTTGTTTTTTTTAACCACTTCATCACTATTTATGCTCTGACTGGCACATACACATAAAAAATAAAACAATCTGAGGAATCCTCCAACAGTATTTACCATTTACAAAGGTTTATCTTGCAAGTGTTTCTCAATAAACCATACATTTTATTTGGTCTGAGACATTAAAAATAATGCAACAAGCCTTAGTTTATTTGTGGCCAGACTCCTGGCCCACACCTTTCTGGTCCTTGTCTAGGGCATGGCTGTCCAAGGATGGCTATTTTTCCACCTTTGATAGGTGAGATCAAATGGTAGTAGATGGACATCTCCCACGTGACAGGCAGGGGGATATTCAACACTTTACTAAAGGGGATGAGCACTTGCTAGAATCTGTCTGAGGATGGCTCTCCTTGCCCTTGGGAATCAACCCTGTCTCCCATCGTGACAGGCGAGGCAATATTCAAACTTTAAAAAGCTTAATCATGTCTGCTGGAATAGGGCAGTTGAGAGAGTGTTAAACTGATGATCATGTTTGATCCATGTTCCATTTGGCTTCCATTGCCCCTGTGCTCTTTTCTACATTACATGCATGAGTTTCCTTTGTTTTCACTTATACTCACACAAATGATAAATCCCTCTACATTCCTAAACAATTAATATTTCAAGTCAGTATTTGTGAAAAACAAAACTTTATTTGAGTTGCAAACAGTAAAATACAGTTATACAATATTAACATTTCCCCAATATGGGAAGAGGAAACTTCACAAACAATCTGAGAATGTTCAAACATTCTCCTTTCCTGAATTTGATATTATTAACCTTGGGATATGGAAAATAAATGAATGATTGGAACAAAGGCACACAAAACAACAAATAACAAAGTGTCCAATGGTAGGACAGGTATTTCATACAAATTTTCAAACAATTCATACACTTTGCAGTATAAATACCTGGTTGTGGTTTCAATTTACTGATATTGTGCTACAAGTGATCAACCTTTTTAAGCCCAAGGGAGACAAGTTCAAGTTGGTTATGCTCTGTAGCTCTGTTGTTCTTGACAGAGAGACAAAAAAGTTGTCCACACATATATTTGTACTTCAGGCTAATTAAATACACTCTTATCTCTGTGCTTTTTAGCTCAGAACTTCTTTCATGACTACGCCATCCAGTCAATACTAATAGCAGGGGCTCAGTTGGACTCCTGAGTCAGTCAGTCAGTATAGGCACCAGCCACAAATGTAGACTGGGGTTTAAGGTCACAGGTCAAGCCCAGCTATACCATCACATAAATGCAGGCTGGGGCCTAAGGTCATAGGTCAAGCCTGGCTATGCCAAAGCATAAATGTAGGCTGAGGCCAAAGGTCATAGGTCAAGCCTGGCTATGTCATTAGCCAGCTCCAAGAAGGACCCTACAGGGTAGGGACAAAGTTGGTTTCATACCTCCGGAGATCTGGTGGGCAGGTACCGCTACATAAGCTCCTCTCACCAGCCCATCTGACACCCAGAGGCTGCTATCTGGTATTCCTGAGGGATCCACCTCTCCTCCAGCTAACGCTAGCTTCATTCTGCACCCTGTGGAGTGCTAAATATTCCTGGGATTGTAGGTGAGGGCCCCAGGGAAGGTGATAGACCTCCGCTGCAGTATTCCTGCAATCAGTGACTCAACTGGGGATAACAAGTTGAGGAACTGTTGAAACTGTTGAAATGGGTGGAAAATGACAACGGAAAGCTAAATATGGTCACAGCACATAGGACAACGTGTAACGGATTCTCAGCTCTGCATGATATGGAAGTGGATAACAGCAACATTGCATATATGGCAATATATCAAAGGATCCCGATTGAACTCTGCAGCCACACGACACGTTAACACCCGATCCGCAGGTAAACACCCACAATTCTCTCCACCCCAGGCCAGGTGGGGTCTGGAGCTGGGCGTGTCTGTATGGTGGGGTCTGCATGTCTCTATAAGAGCTGTCTTTGTTCTTTGCTCGTATAGGTGCGTCAAGCGCAGAGGGGTACTGACCTGAGTATGTCACAACCCAGCTCCTCTGAGAGAATCTGAGTTATAACTTGATTTCTATATTCAGACTTTTAACATTTTTGGGGTTTATGATTGTACGTCTGCTTACATCATGCCCTTAAATTCCACAAACACCTTTAATCTAGACAGCTCATGTGACCCCATTTTCTCCATGCTTCAGGACTCCTACCTCTCATCTTCCTCTTTGATGGAGAGGGGAGACCATGCCTTTGCCCAACAGTGAAGCGCTTGACAATGCCTTCAGCCTTCTACAGTGCGGCCCCTTTTTTGTGTCCACTGTTGCTCTGGTGGGTAACTCGGTGGTTCGACTACAGAACTTTATTTGCTTGTGCTTGTATGTTGGTAGCACTTGTTAAAAAACATCAATACAGCTGAACCAAAAAAAAAATAAAACATAAAAACAGGTGGGTTAGCAGATTGATTTTGAAGCAGACTTTCCTGTCTTTGGTGTTACCAGCAGACTGACAGCCGACTCAGAGGATTAATCTTAGCAGTGCTGACCGTACAGCTGTGCAGGCCTCTCTGATACCCTGCCTGTAAATATCCTGTCTTTTTAAGTCCGTACGCATTCTTAAGCCTTGTCCACAGTCCTTTGGAACACAGATCCTGTATTCCCCCTTCGCTCCTTTGAAAACCAAGGAAATTCTCTTGTACGATGCACTTAAACATTTCTGAAGTTATTCAGGTGCTGGATGGTATGCTGGAGAAGGCTTTTGAAGGACGGACACGCTCCACACACTGGCGCCAGACTTTAACGATGAGCGCGTTCTCCAGCGATGGCCCAGATGTTGGAGACACCTTGGACCAGCTCCCGAGCACCTGTTTCTAAAAGCTTGGATCTCCAAAATCTTTGATTTTTATCTGAGGTTACAGTCTTTACTGAACTGAGATCATAAACGGAGTGCTCAAAACACAGCTGACTAGTGGAGACTGAAAACGCAGCGTTTGGTGCACTCAGAATAATGTCCAATTCCAGAACCAACTATGGTTCCAAACAATAAAAACAAAATATCAAATCACATTCCTCTTACAAGACGAACCAAAAGAAGAAGCATCCACACATGCTTAGAGTCAATATATATGTTGCCACAGCAACCAAAGGAAAAACAGATAAACAGCCTGGGGAAGCATTTGGCTCACACACTTGCCCTAACCCCTAAACCCCACCCCCTATTCACCTGCCTTAACCCCAAACCCATCCTGTTCCCACCCACCCTAACCCCTAACTCAACCCCTGCACACCTGCCCTAACCCCTAAACCCCACCCCTATACACCTGTCCTAACCCACTCTGTCCACACCTACCCTAACCCAACCCCTGTACAGTTCCTCTAACCCCAAACCTACCACCTATATACATACCGTGTCCTCACCTCTAACCCACCCCCTATACACCTGCCATAACCCCTAACCCAACCACCATATGCCTGCCCCAAACCCTACCCCTCTTTGTACATACCTGTGTTGTCCCCTAACCGATCTAACCCAGCCCTTAACCCCACCTCCTGCAGACCTGCCCTAACCCCCAACCCACCCCCTATCCACCTGATCTAAGCCCTACTCACTGCAGACCTGCCCTAACCCCTAACCCGCCCACTATACACCTGCTCTAAGCCCTACCCCCTGCAGACCTGCCCTAACCCCTAACCCACCCCCTATACACCTCCTCTAAGCCCTACCCCCTGCAGACCTGCCCTAGCCCACAGCTCTGTAGAGCAGCCCTCTGCAGTGCAGTACTCGTCTGTTTGGAATCCAGCCCCAAAGCACCACAGAAAAAGAAATAAACTAAATCAAAAACATTCATTTGGCTGTGTTATTTTTAAGTGCAGTGCAGTCGGAGTCTCAGTGGTCTTTGCTCCTAAAAGCTTCAGCTGCAGCCCTCTGCAGGCTGGTGAGTGATGCACTCGTCTGTGTCCTCGGTTTTCTTTGGTTTCAGGCCTGGTCCAGTGCTCAAGCCTCGGATGTAGCCTGGGGTTTGAGTTGTGCTTTCTCCATGGCTGTGCTGTAGGGTAGGGATCGCTTGAAGAAGCCCAGCTATACAACACAAGAGAGAAAAGGGGCATTTTTACTCTTTTTTACTCATTATTTGCTTCCATTGTCCAGGAGACATTACGTACATAAGATTGTCTGGTTGCTCATGTGTGTAAATTGGAAATTACTTTGTGCACGCATTCAATTTTAGAACAACTGGGTTTCATCACACATAAGATGGAATTGGTCTCTGTGAATTTAATGCATGTGATCTTACTTGTGGGGACATTTCCCAAGAACAAAATACACTCATTTCAATGGACATACTGATGAATGGGCCCCAATTTATACTGTATTTAAATAGTAAAAACGTTATCAGCGTTTAAGGGTTTTTCTTTCTTCTTCAATCAATTTTCTACAACATTCAATAGTGCCTCATGGGGTAAGACATTCGCCTGCGGGCCCCGAGATAGGATGCTTAAAACCCAGCCTTGCCGGGGATGATGGGGGCGAGCCGACCAAAGCTCATTGGTCCCATCACTATAGCGCCCGCCCTGGTCATGGTGGGCACCTGTGGCAGCACAAACTGACAGTACTGTAACCGCATCATCGTCCATCACCATAGGCAGTGTCTGATTGGTGGTGCAGCCGCAGTGTGAATACGAAGCAAGGGCGTCGTCACATGAATCAGAGGAGTC